TGGCCCTGAGGCCTTTCCAGTTTTACCAGGACAGGTGGGAGAGCAAAGGCTCAGCAAGGAGCAGTGGGATTTGCTAACAACTACCCGAGCGCCTCCAAAGGAGACCTAACAACTCAAGGGCAGCTGCTTCGCGAATGAATCTACTATCGGATCGGAATCGCGACCCGCTGAGAAGATCCGGCGAGAAACTCAGCGGGCTGATGATTAGGCTTGGTTGCACGTCGAACTCTTTCGAAAAGTATAATCTCCTAATACTTTAGCTTTATCCAGAAACACTTCATGTATTATGCCTTTTATAAGCGATTTATAACGTGGATGATGAGTCTTCTTATTCACTTATGTGTTAATTAAAGTATCACCGCGACAGACGTAAGGATCTGTTAAAATTGAAATGAATTCGTCCAACTTTTCAATCGTTCGATTATAATTGGTAAGATATAGGTAACGGAACAAGCAAATCGAAAATACACTTCTAAGAATTAAATAAATCAAATTTCACTGTTACCCTTATTCAGACTGTAGTTTCGTTTTAATTTAGATAATTTTTCCTTGATAATTGAAATAATGTTTCAATGTTATTATGTGAGGGAAATATTTTATTTCGAGTTAATTTTTGATTCAATAATTGAAGCTAACGGAAATCTTTTTTCCGTCATTGGCAAATCTAACCTTGAAAGATGTTTTTAATTTTTCTCTTGCGACAATTTATTACATGTGAAATGAATTCTTCCTTCGAGGAAGTCGACATTCAAACGTCATTGTTTAAACGAGGCTTAAATCGTCCTTAGCGGCAACAAAGTAACGCTAAATAGGACGGCCTGACTTTGTCGATAGCTACGAGCGATGCCGGAATAATTTACATACATATAAAAAAATATTTACAAGTTTTATTACGGTAATATATGAAGGAAAACGTATGATTTTTTGCGTCTAAATCAATCTAAATGTCTCAAAGAGGATAAATGGTATTTACGTTGTTGATGTCCATGCACTCCGGTGATCACTTAACAACAGTTGGGTCGTGTGCTCGTCTAAAATAAAAAAGATGTGTGGTGTCGTGGGACACCGGATAGGAACGAAGTTCCTTATTATAAAAATATTAATTTTAAATTCTATTCGAGGTGTAAAGAAAATAAAACTGGAGGTTTCGCAACAACCCACGGTCATTCGGTAACGTGCGAACTTATTGTGGTACATTTCATTCACGGTTGTTTGCATAAGAGTTAGTGTATTGCGCAAACGAACGCTCTGAGATCGTGGTCAATGAATGATAAAAAAATATGTTATTTTTTGTATGCTATTACAAAGTTAAGTCGTACACTTTGTGCATTACTAATAAAAATCTTACGTTACGGACGTTTTTTCCCGGTTAGGGTACCCCTCCGCATCGTCCCATAAGGAACTTCGTTCCAAAAATAAAAGAAAAGAAAAAGCCGAAAATCTTGATTCCACGCTTGTTTTGTTAATATGCTACAAGACTTGAAGCTTTGTTACGTAAACAAGTGGCAAAAACTACGTGATTCACGTCGTGTTTCGCTACTGCATCCTGCTTATAGAGCATCGAATCGTTTTTTTTTATGAACGCTATTCGCACCAATTTTACACGTGCCTGGTTATAATGGACGGATACTATTTCTGAAACTTTTTGATATTAAAAATCTGTTTTACGTGTAAATATTTATATCCGTGAAGCATCCAAACATTTCAGATTTACAAGCGCAATAAAATTATTATTGTATCTTTGTTTTGTAATAGCATTTATGCTGCTTTGTACTATGTGCGTATTGGATTCGAATAGACAATACTAATCAGATGTATGGCGGTAATATATTTATGTATGTCAGTTTGAGCTCCGCCCGATCATCAAACGTGCCCTCGTAGTCGTCATTTTGTAGGTTAACCTCTAAATAAACACAGAATTAAATAATTGCAGACCACAAACGCGGTGATTTCGGTCTTTTCAAATGACTCAGACTGTCTAGCCAGCCCACTGCCATAGACTAACTTTTTAAATGTCACATGTCATCCACAGATTAACTGACACTGGTCATGCGTCAATATGTAATAAACGAGTCAATAACTAATAATCTATTACGATCGCAGCACCATCCTCGAATCCACCCAGGTAATTAACCTAACGTTCCCAATCAAATAAATCAAAGTTATTTCCACTGATACTCCGACATGTAAGCATATATTTCTAATGTGTTGCTTCACCTATAACATATTAGGTTGAATTTGCAAAGTCTCAGTCACATTGGGGTTGTGGCAATTCCGTCATTCAGATCGAAGCAATGCTTTATTTACTTGGTTACTATTACGTAATTTCACCGGTGGTATTGTAAGCCGGCACGCGTAGGTTCCACCGACACAATAATTCATTCGTGGAAGCTGTCATTCGGCCCGGTTCGAAGGTTTAACTATAGAATTGAGATTTTGACCTCAGGTTTCAAGGGACGTGTCGCCATTCAGGTCGTGACGTCACGTAGCCACTTCATACAAGCTGAACCGAGAGCTCGTTCACTTGTCTGTGCAATTAAAAGTGAAGTAAATAAATACTTTGCATATTTATATTCATCTCCCCTTCGTTATCCTTGGACTGAATGCACTAACAAACGCGTGGCACAAAGTCTGGTCCCCGGAGATATAATATATTACGGTTATTGTTCAATTCCCTTTGCAAGCATAACATGTACTCGTAAGTTTCATAACAAAAAACGTACCAACATGAATTAATTGTATTTGCAGATGTTCTTATTGTCATTTTGACCTTGTCTTTATTGTGTAGATTAATTGAGTGTATGCTGAATTCGTTGTGCAATTCTATGGAAACTAAAGTAATGAGTATTTTTTTCTCGAAGTTTCCAGTTTGTGGCGATCATGGTAATTTGAGTTTTTTTGTTAGCTCCTGCCGGCTAGTGGCCTACAATAAGAACAGTCAGACACATTAGTTGAATATATTGTTGAAAATAGGCAATTATATCATTGTTCGAGCTCGGACCACTACAAAATTGCTCTGTGTACTTAGTGCGAATTTTTTAACTTGTTTTTTAATTTGTATGGACTTGGAACAGCTTCCGTTCGTTTGCCGCTAGAGGCGTTGTTCTAACTCCACACTGTGATGTCCACGAAAGAAGGTGGTACATTGAGATACCTTTTACTAATGTTTTAGTTTGATAGGTAGAATAACCACAGTCCCAACGGGATCGGGAGTTCAATCATGTCTCCAAAACGGCGGCGGTATTCATATTATGGGTGTCATATCTATCTATTAACGGGATCTTTCAACGTAATTTTGATCAATTTTAAGATTACTCCGATTTACTTGAAAATTTGCACCCGTATGAAGAATAGCCAAACATTGCCCACCGGGAGTTTCGTTGGGTAGGACACACTACGGCGCAGCGGAGTCAACGCAGCATCAATCGCGTTTGAGTGGCAACCGCTTGGCAGGAGAAGATCTGGTCGCCCTGTACATACTTGGCGACGCACCGTGGAGAGTGAGATGAGGACTGCCGACGTGACCGGGGGTGATGTCAAAGAGAAAGCGCAAGACAGGGTCAAGTGGAGACAACTTGTAATGGTCTTATGTACCAGTGGGGTACCCTAGGACTACAAACAAACAACAACTTGAAGAATAGCCAACAGTACAATCATATTCCAACCTTAAAGTAATATCATGCTCACAGTAATTATTTTTTTTGACTACATATCTTAATTTTTTATATGAAATGAAATAAAATACTAAACGATTTTTTATTATTAATTATTTTTCTTCATAATGCTTTGAATATTGTATTCCAAATTTTGTCGATTTCTATCCATTTCTGTGAATGGATAGTCCGGAATATAATACCTTGCATGTAATACAATGCCTTCGTCCCGTCTAATAAACGAATGGTGTCAGTGCATTAGGCGCGTGGGTGACTTTATCCGCGTATCGTTTCGGCGCTGTGGGATGTACGTTCCGATGTCGTGACCCACTTTACGTGAGGCGATTGTGCAAATTGTAACTATACTGTAACTATACTTGAGACGTTAGAACTTATATCTCAAGGTGGGTGGCGCATTTACGTAGTAGATGTCTATAGGCTCCAGCAAACACTTAACAGCAGGTGGGCTGTGAGCTCGTCCATCCATCTAAGCAATAAAAAAAAGACTCGCATTTCATTCAGGTTTGACTTCGGCAATAGAGCTTTTTTTTCTTACCTATGCTGATAGCCTTGAGAGGGTGGGTATATCAGCTTTACCCTAGCGTGTAGGTGAGCTCTCAGGGCTTAAACCGGAGCTGTTGCTAACACTGGCCCTAACAAGAGCCATGCTTCGCAGAAACCCACTGAGAAGATCCGACGAGAAACTCAGTGGGCTGTGTCTATGGATTACAATAGCGCTACGTGACCGAAATAGGACAGTGCAATGGTCGTCACTACCAGTGTTAATTAGTACGAACCAAGACGCTTTAGCATTAGTAATGATTTCCCTATTCTGGGTTGAACCCTTAGAACGAACAAATGTGATGGTGCTATTTTAAGCGACATCCTAATTTCAGACCGCTTGTTTCCAAATACGAGCAATATTTAGCTGCAAGCAAAAACGTCTTTCGTCGATTCATAGGTCAAAATATCTACTTCTTATTCACTAATATTTTAATTAGAATTGCACCTCGATGTACGCGATATCTTCATTGTGATCTTAAAAGCCGTGGGTCGCACCAATTGACCCCCGATTAATTCTAATTTATTACAATCGTTTTTTATTGCCTCCGCTATTAGGGAACACGCCGAGAGTGTTCAGTGTTGCCCGAAGTTATACGTTGAGCTTAGTCATCGTTCGTGGATTGAGTGATCGTAATGCTGGGTGATCTGACATAATTAGCTTTTGCAAACTCTCTCTTCAAACAAAATTTATGGAATATAACTTGCCTGTCATCATATATATGTTGACGGCGGTAACATTAAGTTTTAATTGGTTAAAATTCAGTGTTTTTTTTATTTTTACAGGCAAAGTGGTGTGCGCATCTTGCGGCGGCAAGTGCAGCGGTGAGGTGCTTCGCGTGTCGGACAAGTACTTCCACACCGCCTGCTTCACGTGCCGCACTTGTTCAGCCTCTCTCGCCAAAGGGGGCTTCTTCTGCAAGGACGGACACTACTACTGCCCGCAGGTTAGTTGATGCACATTCGTGAGTCAAACCGTTTTGAGCTCTAAGTCTTTTTCTTCAACTTCGTCTATATCAAACCGATCATGACCTAGGTCGATAAACTTGTTAAAGTCTAATTTAGCTTGCAATTTCATGATGAGCCGCATCTTTGATATGAGTGCTTTGAGAATCAGGCCTTAGATAGGCTTATTAGAATAGCAGTAGGTAAGGAAATCAAATTAGAAAATAACATGACATTTGCCTTTTGAATTCTTAGTCGAAACTGTTGTTGAGTAGAGGAGAGTAGAGTGTGAGATACTCTTCGATGATTATTAGTTTGACAAAATATAATTGAAAGAACTTAAATTTTAGAAATTATAATAGACTCATTATTAGTTTAATCTATATAGGTAGATGAGGCGGCTTCATTGAATGAACCGGATATTATCAAATATATGATTTGTAGATATTGTTCACGTCTTGTTTGTTACCTATGTGCTTAGGCTTAGTGCGAGTTTAACGTTCTCGATAGCGTAAAAGTTAACTCAAATTTTTATGTAGTTGGAACAGCGCCCCTTGCGGCTAAAGTTCCAACTTCACATACAAATTTGAGTTAACTTTGACGCTATCGAGAACGTTAAAAAAACTCTCACTAACCACACTAGTTTATGGTTGCAAAGCCTAAATACGTAACGTATTCTCGAGTGGTCTTGACACGAACAAACGTTGCGTAGTCGCTTAGCTAATACCCGACTTGTTCTTCATAAACGTTTTAAAATAAAATACAGTGCATGGTCGAACTTGTTCAAGTCAACCGTGATTATTACTAATTTATCATGAAACGCAAAAGTGTAGGCACCGAATAATAGTACCTACCTACTGTGTATTAGCGATACGATATTGCAATAAAATGATAACGTAAGCAGACATCATGCAAGCGTGAAGTGGATTGTGCATATCAAATGTTAATATTGTAACTATGTAATATGTATACTAGAAAGCTATAGGTGATTTTTACTTAACGCATGCATTAACATATGTGAATGATTTATGGTCTGTGTTTCTAATACCATTTAAGTTCTTTTCGATTCGACTGGTGGTAGGACCTCTTGTGAGTCCACACGGGTAGGTAACACCGCCCTGCCTATTTTTGCCGTAAAGCAGTAATGCGTTTCGGTTTGAAGGGTGGGGCAGCCGTTGTATTGTTACAACTGTGACCTTAGAACTCATGTCTCGAGGTGGATGGTAGCATTTACATTTTAGATGTCTATGGACTCTAGTAAGCATTTAAGATCAGTTCGTCTTGGCCAGTCTAGGCAACGAAAAAAAAGGTGTTATTTTCATTTGTGAGTTGAGGTAGCAAGCAAAATACCTCAACTCATAATACCTCTAATTACGACGGCTATAGTTGTCATAATTAGAGTCCGTGTGGATAATTATCACCATCTCGTCTATTACTGCCATGAAGCAATCTTTGGACTGCTGTTAACTATAACAAATTTGAGACTACGATATGTATTTGGAGGGATTTATTCATTGTATACATTTGTACACACCTAAACACACGTCAACTTAAACACGTCGAACGACTTATAAACTATTAGTGTACGATACATGACTCGTACTACGTGATAATTTAATGTTACATTTACATGTTAATGTTTTTTGTTTTGCGCAGGATTACCAACGCGCGTTTGGCACACGATGCGCAGCCTGCAACCAGTACGTAGAAGGAGAGGTGGTCTCCGCCCTCGGGAATACGTATCATCAGAAATGCTTCACTTGTGCGAGATGCAAGTTAGTGCCATCCGTTTATATTTAAACCACGTTAACTACAACCATGAGTATGCTCCTAACGCAGCCCAGTTACAATTGACCCCTAAATAGAGTCTGATGGATCTATTTGACGTAGTCTTAAGTTCTGATAGATGACTAGTTCCCGTTGCTAATATATCGTAATACTTGTCGAAGCGTTACAAACTGTTTTAAACTTTCGTGGCTAACTACATTAAAAAAAACATTAAATGGGCTCTTATTTCGGCCTTATCCGGGCCGGATCATTAAGATAACGAATAAAATGGTCTACGTGAAATATCCGGAACTAGTTTAATGAAAATCGTTGTAAGGACCCGTTAAATAATAATGTTTGTAGTTGCCGAAAAGTTCGCGTGATACACAAACTAAAGCTTTCAGTCCGTTGGGTTTATTGCTAAATCTTCACAGCATGTCACGCTATAGGTCCAGTTGTAGTTGCACTTAAGAAGCAGTTGCCTTCCATGAGCTAAAAAGGCGTACTGGTCACTGGTAATCCATCAACTCGCTTTTCCCTAGACCTTTCTCCAGTTCAAAACCACAAAACTCTTCTTACATACACGCGAATTACGTTATATTTGTGTGACTGGTAATGTGCAGAGCGGGCGTCCTAAATATACTTGTATGGACTGTACGAAAGAGGTTATAGGAGAGAAGGGTATGCGTGCAGATATGACGAATGATAGGCCTTAATGAAAAATGAATACTTCGCCGACTCCACATGGTGGTATTAGAGTTAAAAGAAGATTTGTTTGATTGCCACCCGTTTTTTTTATTTTTTTTTATTGCTTAGATGGGTGGACGAGCTCACGGCCCACCTGGTGTTAAGTGGTTACCGGAGCCCATGGACATCTACAACGTAAATGTCGCCACCCAACTTGGGACATGAGTTCTAAGGTTTTACTTCACTTTGTGTCTTCGTGTATCATATTAACTGACTCTCAATCCCAAAACACTAGCTCCCACATATATTATTTAAGTTTCATAGTGAATATTATACATATACTAGCTGACTCGGCAAACGTTGCTTTGCATAAGATTTCTAAAGAATTTCTAGTGTGGGAAAAAAAAACTAAATTATTGTAAGTGTGTAAGGATGTGGTAAATGAGTGAAAGAGGCATGTAGCGCTGTGAACGATGAGGGAATATAAAAATAGCAAAACCTCATTGAACCACATAATGCCTCATTATAACAAACAAACAAAATTGTCAAAGAAATAAAAAATAAATGTTAGGGGTGGACAACCCTTATCACTTAGGGGCATGAAAAATAGATAGTAGCCGATTCTCAGACCTACTGAACATGCATATAAAATTTCAGAAAATCGGTCAAACCGAGAATTTTATAGATAAGACTAGCTGACCTGGCAGACTTCGTAGTGCCTCAATCGATAAATAAAAGACACATCAAGGGGACACATCAAAGGAAAAACAAAATTGTTTGTTTTTATATAATTCGGAGCTTTTTTATATTTTCTCACCTTTTAAATCTTTCCTGGACCTCCACGAATAATTCAAGACCAAAATTAGCCAAATCGGTCCAGCCGTTCTCGAGTTTTAGCGAGACTAACGAACAGCAATTCATTTTTATAAATAGAGATAGATAAGATTATCATGATTTCTATGTTAAGTTTTTCGTTTGAAATCCCAGGAGAGCGTTCCCGTCGGGTGAGAAAGTGACGTATACAGGAACAGAAGTTGTCTGTTCGAACTGCGTGGCGGTGCCGCAGCGACAGACCGCCAGGACTGCGGCGCCGGCCCCCCTCAGCTCCCCCACTCCGGAGCCACAGCAGAATAATGTTGAACGACGACAGCCAGATCAGAACGGTAACGGTTTTTTTTCTTTTCTTCTTTAGATGAATGAAGAAGCACACGGCTCCATTATTACGGCGGTACTGGTATTAAGTGATACTTATTGGTATTTAGCGAAGTCGTCGTGGCCTAAAGGATGAGACGTGCGGTGCATTCGTGTCTTGCGATGCATCGGAGTTCGAGTCCCGCTGGCTGGTGCCAGTTTTTGTAATGAAATACGTACTTGACAAATGTTCACGATTGACTTCTATGGTGAAGAAATAACATGGATCATGGGCCGTGAGCTCGTCCAACCACCTAATCAATAAAAAAAATTTAAAAAAAACCGAAGATCTATAGGCGATATCAAATCTTGAATGTATTGCATACTATCAATCACTATACTCAAAGGCATAAGGTGAGATAGTAACTGTTTTGTTTCTAATTTGTTATACATATGAATAGGCATTTACCTATGCTAATGTCAGTCTTGAGGTAAATAAATGACAAAAAAATGTGTGCGTGTACTAGTGTACACACGTAAGAAGTGAAACTTGTTTATGGCCTTATTTTTCGAAAAATGATCTACATGCAACTTTCTAGAAATTGGTTAAATAAAGTTAAATTAGATAAAGTTTAAACAAAAGGATTTTATTATCATAGACATGAATACAAATAATACAATTATTTCACTTTACCTTTTTGCTACTAAGATTATTACAGCATTTCATTAATTGTAATAGAATTATTACTATCATTGTCATTGTCATTATATATTTTTGTAATTAATGGCTTATGGTAACTGAAATATGAAATATATGGTTTACATTCCACGAAATTTAGTGACCGAGTAAAAACTCCATCAATTGTAGTGCCAGATCTTGTTGTTGACGTTTGAGGACTGTTTTTCATGGATAAATTCAATTTATCTTTCAGAAATTCAACTAGCTTCAAAGAATTTTCCGATGCAAAATTTACATTAAAATCTCCACTTAAAATCATCGGTATTTTATAATTATTGTTACCGAGTAAAGAGGCACCTTCACTTGTGTACGGCAACAATGAATGGTGAAGAAAAAGATGGCGCGTAACGGAAAAATGTGACGCGTAACCGAAAAATGTGACGGTAAATTTTTTTCCAACGCCGATAAAGAAGTTTCACTTCAAAAATTACGGTTACTGTAAACTCTTAACTTTATGGGGGTTCTGATGCTGGAAAATTCATAATTATGCCCTGCGGATTCATTATTATTAAAATTTGCTAAGAACAATATTGATCTACCATTGGGACTGGTCAAATAGCGTCCGTGGAATTGTTACATAGTTACTAAGATACTTTTATTCTCAGAATGCGCTGGTTGCGGTCAAGAATTATCCGAGGGTCAGGCTTTGGTGGCACTAGACAGGTAAGGCGCTTATCTGTTTTAAATATTTCCCTCCATCGTTGATACCGAAGGGTGAAAGTCTATTTGGTTTAAGTGACAAAATAATGTTTACAATCTGTTATCTATGGGTGAAACTATGGAGAGGCCGGTTTTGCATCCAAATTCATTATATCTTAAATAAATTCCAATGTACGTCATATAGAATAAAAAAGTTGTGGGTTAGGCCACTTTTGTGCTGAAGGCCTCATATAAGAACAGTTCATCCTGATCACGCAGGAGCCAGACACCGTCGACACCCTAAACACGTCCTTACGGATCCATCAGATCCATTAACCGTTGCATTAGACGCCTTCAGCTCTAACACTAGGAGTAGGGACCCCGGTAACCGTACTCGTCGAACTCGGTAAAGAGTTCGACGTGCAACCTAACCTAAACATCAGCCCGCTGAGTTTCCGCGGATTCCGATCCGATAGTAGATTCATTCGCGAAGCAGCTGCTCTTGAGTTGTTAGGTCACCTTTGGAGGCGCAAATCCCATCCCTCCTGGTTGAGCCCTCGCTTGCCCACCTGCACTGGTAAAACTGGAAAGGCCATTTAATTGAACTTCAATTATGTTAACTCCATTCTAATAGCTTTTTTTTCATGATATTTTTTCCAAATTTTAAAGTTCAAATTGCTCTCCTGTAAATTCGTAAGAATTTCGTTTTAACCAAAATGGCCTTTCAATCCTCGATATGTCCATCGACATTTCAATATTCCCCAGACAATGGCACACTGGGTGCTTCTCGTGCGGCGAGTGCGGCGCCGTGCTGCAGGGCGAGTACATGGGCCGCGACGGCGTGCCGTACTGCGAGCGAGACTACCAGCGTCTGTACGGAGTGCGGTGCGCGTACTGCCAGCGATACATATCCGGGAAGGTGTTGCAGGTAACGATTAGTAGTAGTAGTAGTAGTAGTTTTATTTTTCCAAATGGAAAGGCAAAGGCATACCATACAGCCTAATCTTTTTTTTTATGAAATATGATATTATAAAATGAAATGAAGTCGATTAATATGAAACAGCATGAAATGAAATGAAATGAAATAAAATTGATGATTAGTTTAAGACATTAATCAACTGGGATAAAATTAAATGAAATGAGTTGAGATGATATGATATGGGATGAAATATAATCTCAGTAAAATGGTGGTCATTTTGGAGGATCCCGAGAAGTTACGTCCGGCGGCTTTGTATCATTTGTGCACTTATACAGATAGATACTAAACCAGCTAATAAACCACTGTTATTACACATTTAAACCTGAAGAAACACAAAACTTCAAACCCTCGCGTTCCCGCCAAAAAAAAAGTCTAAAGCCGTTAATGAAAATGCAGGCCGGAGAGAATCACCACTTCCACCCGACGTGCGCGCGCTGCAGCAAGTGCGGCGACCCGTTCGGCGATGGTGAGGAGATGTTCCTCCAGGGCGCCGCCATCTGGCACCCGCGCTGCGGACCCGCGCCCCACGACCCGCTCTCCGCCGACAGAGCCTCCTCCGAGCTGCAGGTGAGTGCGACCGGACATCGCACGCATCCTTACACACCAATCACTCTAGGGATCGGTATCAAAATGTAAAAAAGAAAAGCGCTAAATCTCTATTCTTTTATTTATTTACTAGCTGACCCGGCGTACTTCGTAGTGCCTCAATTGATAAATAAAAGACCTAAACTTTTGTATAAAATTAACTTGCAAAATTGCTATTTTTATTTAATTCCAAGCATTTTTATATTTATCTTTAACTTTTAAACCTTGCCTGGACTTCCACAAATAATTCAAGACCAAAATTAGCCAAATCGGGTCCAGTCGTTCTCGAGTTTTAGCGAGATTAACGAACAGCAATTCATATTTATATATATAGATTTATTTATTCCATTCAATTCAAAAGTCAGGCTTACAGTTTGCACCAAATCGCCTGCCTGACTCGTTAACATAAAAAAACATTATTAAAATTATTAAGTACTATTATTATGCTAAAAATAACATTATATTGGAAAAAAGTATTCCCAACAATCGGCAAACACGTCAGCATCCTGGATTTCGGACAGAAATTGGTTTAACAGCGCAATTGCCCTGGCCGTTGGACTGTTCCTAGCTCTACGGGTCCTCAGCCCCGCCAACGCCGCGAATAAGTGGCGGTGGCGGCGCACTCCCGCCCGTGCAGGCAGACGTGAGTCAGATCGTGAGCGGTTACCGTCGCCCACGGACTTCAGAGCAATGCCAGGGTCAAAACCAGGCCTCTGTCTACCAAAACTTAATTGAAAATTTCAATAAATTACAGTCAATGATTTTAGCAAAAAAATTAATAGTCAGTAAAAGTAAAACATAAACTGAACATATATGGTATTAAAATTGTATAAAATAAATTCACACAAGATTTCTGAAAACTTGATTTTGCCTTCACCATGATGATGTAGGTAATTACATAACTACACATTACGGTCAATCACCTCATCTACATTCCTTAGTAATTATTTCTTTTGTAGTTTAATAGCAATGGTAGTGACACAAAAATACTGCATTATTAGTGTATTTAATGACAATGTAAATAAGCTCTAACCAGTTATCAAATGATGCGGTCTCGACTCTAGCCACAAAACTTTATTTAAATGTAATGATATTATAATGACGTCATCACCAAAAGAACCAGACCAGCTAATTGAATAGCAAAAATTAAAATTGTCAACTATTTAATAAGTAGTTGTCTAAAAATGGAAATAAAATTCTTTGGCGTTCTTTTCGTTTCGTTTTTCGTCAGTCGTAATTTAAAAATTATAGATGGGTAGATAAAAATTGCCCAAATCTTCTTATTCCAAACAGTATCATTAGTACATGGTTCATCATTAATAATATAATTAAATAGTAATAATATTTTAATATGGATAACAAATATTTGAAAAACACGAATTACCAATACGATTATTAAGTTAAGGTACGTACGCGTACGCATTTGCGTGCAGCGAGTGCGTGTACGTGCATATTACATTCGCACGCACTGTACATTCGGCATAATTTTCCTTTATGAGGACTTAAAAACGAAAATTGTATATTCACATTTTATTATTCGTAATACAAATTAGCTTTCTCTTTATGGTATCTCGTTTTGATTTTGTAGTTTTTTGTTTGCACTGATTGATTGATATTTGTTTTACAGCCGTAGTTCCAAACTGCACTCGTCGTATTGTAAATGTGTTTTTGTTTTTCATAAATTCATTTCATCTTAGTCTTGTAGATTTTCATTCCAACTGGACAACAGAGTTAAATAATTTATATATAAAATAAAGTTGATAGAAGAAACAGTTTGATAAAAGAAAAATATTGTTAATACAATTCAATTAATTGAAAACATTTAATTGGACGTCAATTAAATTAAAGTTTTAATTCCAATAATAATATAGAACCACAAAGTCCCAGAACAACCGAGTCCTACCAAATTATACTTGTTGTTAAAAGTCGATAACAAAATGTTAATTGTTCTTCTTTAAATTACAAACTCTTAAAACCACAAAACAGCTTTAGTTGTTTAGTTGTTCATTACCCAACAAATTATTCACCATGTAGGTAATATAATAATATATGTATGAATTTTAGATTTGTGTGTGTGTGCGCATCAATGGGAACATTAATGCGCTGAAGGAAAATCGGATTTTTCATGAATAAATATAAGACTTAAATTAAATTACTATATTTTTATTGCAAATGAGTTGTTTGAAGTGCACGCACACAATGGAATGCTTATGTAGTTATTGTCACTCAGAGCTGTTGCGTTAAATAAACCTGATGCTAAATTAATATTAAAAGTGACAAATACCTGTTTAAAGAAGTCAGTTTTGTCTGGAACTGTATACGTCACAGCTCTGAGTAGCTCTCATGATTACGTGTAGCCAACTGAAAGTGTTTGTGTGGGCGTCATACTCGGCTATCGAATATAATAAGATATTATTCATTCTCGAAGCAGCTGCCCTTGAGTAGTTAAGTCTCCTCGGGAGGCGCTCGGGCAGCTGTTAGTAAATCTCACCCCTCCTGGCTAAGGGAGAAACTGGTATAGCCTCTGGACCACAAGTAATCCATTCGTCAAAAAAAAAAACTTTAAATTAGCTTACTTGTGTACGTCTCGCGAGGTATCATCAGCTTTGAGACTGAGCTTGTTCATAAACTACGTAAGAATAATCTCGAAAAAATCTCTCGAGTGAAATGAGACTTTCAAATTTTTACGTATGACGCTTACACAAAAACGAATCTTGACATTAGACGCATAAGGTTCAGTTTTGATTTTCAAAATGATCGTGACGTTATCAAACGCAACACGATGCCTCTAATGTTGAAATGTATGCGCTGTGTATGTCGTATGTGTGTTGTAGTATGTGACATGCTAGTTTATGTTGTGGTACACAGTTCTCGCTGCGATCGCGCACACCCAGCGTCAACGGCTCATACTGCAGTCCCTACAGTAGCTTGACTAGGAAGGTCTGCTCACACCCTTGTATTACCTTTTATTTTTTTTCTTATATTTTAAGCTTACAACGTGCCTCTTAAAGTTTGTACTGGAATATTAACCAAAATAAATTTTACTGGTGGTAGGACCTCTTGTCCGCACGGGTAGGTACCACCGCCCTACCTATTTTTGCCGTAAAGCAGTAATGCGTTTCGGTTTGAAGGGTGGGGCAGCCGTTGCAGCTATACTCAGAACTCATATCGTATTGATTGTAGATGTCTATGGGCTCCGGTAACCACTTAACATCAGATGGGCTGTGAGCTCGTCCACCCATCTAAGCAATAAAAACAAAAACAGAGTGTAAAGTAAAGAAAGTGAATTAAAAAAAAAATATTTTTGAATAAGAATTTTTAAGTCCATAAATAACCGAAAAAGTTAAAAGGTTGGAAATAAAAAAATTAAAAAAACAACCTTTAGTTTATGTATAACTTTAAGAGGCATTTTTTTATTTATTAGTTGACACATTTACATGTTATCTTTTTTTTTTTGTCTTTTTATTTCAATGCCTTATTTATGATTTACCGCATATTATATTTTCTGTTGTACCCTTCCCATGTCCTCGCACAATGTGAGCATGTTGATGTGTAAACTAACAAAATTATGTATTTACTTTCAGGAAATTTTCCCCATAACAGGGAATTTCAAATAGTTACATACAGTTTAATGCATTCAAACTTTACTTATAGTCAGCGTTTCTCACTACAGAGTAAATAACTCATTACAGAGTAAATATAAAATTTAACTGGGAGATTAAATAAAAACATCGGCTATTAAAATAATGGGACATAGTGAGGAACCTAACCACATGAATATAAAGTAATCAAAAAGTCATCTTAATTAGAAAGTCATCTCAGTTTGAATTGCTTGAATGGACTTAAATACACAGGAAATTATATTCAGTGAAACTGTGTTGTATAGTATTTGGTCGATTATGTTAAATTTACGAAAAGAGGTGGATGTTAAAAAGGAAAATGAGATATTTGTTTGGGTTCGATCAGAAAACCAAGCCAACCGATTTTTAACATCCTAAGGTACTCCCCCAGATTATTATCAGTTTTATGATTGTCCCACGAAGTTGTAACATTACAATATATGTTATAAATAACAATGTAATAGTATTTAAAAATATATATATAATTGCCTACGAATAATGAAACTATGGAAGCTAATTCCACTGCTTTTCATATCTAAAATAAAAAAGCGCCAAATAATAATTATCTGGTCAACCGAAAACTGACGCAACACGACCGCACGATACGAGTGCCACAGCGAACTGGCACGCCGTTCTGTAGCTATTTTAAGCCCCGCCCTCCGCGGTAGCTATTTACGTGGAACCTTTTTTGAAGCGTAATTACTTTACTATAGTTTTATTATTCGTAGTTAATTGCACAAATTTGTTAGTGGGACAATAACAATACTCGACGTTCTAAATGTGGGGATGCCATAAAAAACAGATACTAAATTAAATTAGTAAATGGCAATGTCAAGGACACACTAAAGCCGCTTCTATCCTTGAGATCTTATTTAATTCAAACTTTATTTGGAGAAGGGGCGTGTTTTTTTGATAATGTCCAATCGTACAATACAAGTTTGTGATTTCGACGGCATGTCCAGTACGGGTACCGAGCCGTCTCCCCCGGGCTGGTGCTACGCGAGTACCGCGAGGCGGGCGCGTGCAGTCCGCACCGCATCACCACGTACTCGTACCTCACGACGGAGCCGGCGTACCTGCGCCGCCCCGTGCAGCCCTACGACCGCCCGCCCACCTCGCCGCACTTCCACCGCCCGCCCTGTGAGTAACTGTGACTTGTGAGTCCCTACGAGTACATACTGTTAGGGGGAGGATCCAAGAACTTTTATTAAAAAAAACTGCGACCGACATTGAGTTTATTTTATAAAAGACTAGCGATCCGCCCTCGCTTCGCTTCGGAAACTGTAATTTATTATTGATTTCACCACTAGTTAATGGATGTTATTATACATATAAACCTTCCTCTTCAATTACTCTATTAAAAAAAACCGCATCAAAATCCGTTGCGTAATTTTAAAGATTTAAGCATACATAGGGATATAGGGACAGAGAAAGCGACTTTGTTTTATAGGTACTATGTAGTGAAATAGTTTTTTCCTCATGCTTCATTCCCACACTTATAGAGAATATAGAGAAGGAGTGCAGAATCCGGCGGTAGATTTTGCGAAGCACGGCTCTTTCTAGGGTTCGGTTAGCAGCGTCGTCAGGTTCGAGCCCCGTGAGCTCACCTACTAGTTAGGGTTACGCTGAAATAGCCTCTCAAGTCTCTCAGATAGGTTTATAAAAAAAAAAAAAAACTCTTCGTATATACTTTACTTATAATATTTTGTATTCAAGTTTAACAATATTTGCTATGTGTATGTGCATTCCTATAATTCTCATGTTGTATTTGTTATTTTAGCTGTTCTAAACACACACTCATCACTTTTAATTATTATTCTCATAATCCTCTCGAAGGTCTGCTGGAAAAGATTTCTTAATGAAATAAGCAGTGCCTTTGTACATAATTTTCCTATTACTATGTATTATGTCTTCTTTTTTGTGTGTATATAAATTAAATAAATAAAAAAAGTGAGAGGGTAAATGTTTATTTATACTTACTTATTTAAAAAAAAAAGCAAAAAATATTTCAGAAAAAACAAAAAAAAAGCCCGCTGAGTTTGTTTCGCCGGTTCTTCTCAGGACTGTGGCTTTTTTTGGAACCGGTGGTAGAGTTAACATTGTTATTTATATTTTGACATTCAACAAGTGTGTTATACTGACATCTAAGTTGAAATAAATGATTTTGAATTTGAATTTGTTTGGCAGCGTCGGCGAGCACCCGCGCGTCGTCCCGGGCGGGTAGTAAGGCGTCGTCCCGCCCCGGGATGCGCGTGCTGGTCGACTCTATCCGCAGCGAAACGCCGCGACCCAAGTCACCGCACATGAACAATGAGGTCATTATTTTTTTTACTACGCTTTTATTAGCTTCAGACGTATGTATGTTAGTGTGTAACGGAATCTTTGAACGTCATGATTTTGATGGATTCAAAACGTCGGATTAACTCGATTTTGGTATACTTGTTAAGGACCGATGATAATTCAATATTTAAAAAAAAATGGAAATATTGAAATCCAAGTAAAAAATGGAAAATAAATTTTAATAAATTTGAATTAAAAATAATGTAAGGAAAAATGATTTTATCGTAAAAAAAAGCGTGGGATGCTTTTCAGGATATTATCAAAATAACCCCTCTACTCACATCTGTTCATAAAATATTTAAAACTACTGATAATATGCACCCCATGCTTTTTTTACAATTTAATTATTTTCAAAGGGTTTATTTATTTATTTAGGGTTCGTTTTGTTATTTCCGACGCTTCGACTACTTTACAGTTTTCATGGTCACCGACTGTTAAATTGGCATTTGTTGACATTAGAATTTTGTAAATAACAACAATCATTCTTTTTATAAAAACTATTAAAATTAAACTTTGTCGGTACACAAAAATCAGAAACTGTAAACACTACAATTAGTTTTTATTAATGTGCGTTTCACAGTACAACAAAGGCCCTATCGATAATGACACCGTTAAGAAACCTAAGTAGTTCCGTTTTGGATCGACAGATGGCGCTGCTTAATTTTTTTAAGCGCTTCAGTCGGAACAGTATTGGAAGTAAAGCCGCTTTCAGACTACGCTATAATATAATCTATACTAATATGTAAAACTACAGTGATTTTTACGGATGTGCCGTTATAACTATTGAACTATGCATCCTATTGACTTGAAACTTGGTATCCATGTAGAAAATACATGTACTTAATGGACAGGCTAATATGTACATGAGTGTTGGACTCCCTAATAATAATGACAATAAATAATAATGTTAATTTTAATTGCCCAGCGAAGCGGACGAGTACGGCTTGTAGCATATACAATAGTATATCGTTGCTGTCAAACCAAAATCTGCTATGTTCAAAAACTCTATTTTGAATTCTTACGAGTAAAAACTTTTATATGAAGGTGAATTTTTAAGAACTATATCAAATGAAAGCTATAGACAAATATTAAAGCTATAGACAAATATTAAAGCTATAGACTAGTATAGACTCATAACAGTTTTTTTTTATACGGTAGATAGGGCTGTGAACTATACGAAAAAGTCAAAAAGTCAAAATCACTAAAAGTGCACATTGCAGATTTTGGTTGGACAACAACTATATAGCTCATAGCACAACAATATAGCACACCGTTATGGCACGTTCATACTGTACTGTACTATATATTATTGGCTAAGTATATGCTGTTATACTATATGGCACTATGGTATAGCTTAGTCTGAAAGCAACTTAAAAGTATGGTTTTTTGTTCAATTTTAGGAACCAATCGAGCTGTCACACTACCCGGCTGCTTACAAGCCGCCCCCCGGAACCAAACCGAAGATAGAGAGAGACGACTTTCCAGCACCACCTTATCCATACACCGATCCGGGTTCGTTTCCACAACAATTTCAGCACATAATTTAATTACTTTTTTTTTAATCTTGAAGCACACCATTGAGATTCAGAACGGATGCACATTGCACGATGCTTCTGACATATGTCCCACTAGACTATGCAAGTTGTCAGAAGTTGTCAGATTTTTTTTTGTTTTTTACAATCGAGATGTAGACCTCATACAGTAGATTGGGAGGTATAGAGACTAGAATTAGAATAGGGACGAATCTGGGATGTCACGATACTTTTATTGAGCTGTTAGATTTCACTTTGTTGAATTGATAATGACTTTTATTTAGTGTTTAAGAATATTAAATTATATGTTAAATATTTATATTAAATAGTTAATTACCTATAGTTAGGTACCTACCTAAAGCTAAATAGTGCCAGCCCTATCGAAAAACTATATTCAAATGTAAATAATGGATATGTTCGACAGAACGCAGAAGGCGATGGTCGGACACGTACAAGGGCGTCCCGGACAGCGATGAGGAGGTGGACGGTAAAGTGAACGGCGCGGTCAACGGCCGGGCCGGGGTCGACCCCAAGCTGCGCAAGGAGGAGGAGGAGCTGTCCAAAATCGAGACGGGGATAGCGCAGGTCGGTGCGGGCTCGTTAAAGTACACTTTGTGCTTTGTGCGAGTTTTCTCGATCGGGTAAAAGTTAAATTTGTATGGAGTTAGAGCAGCGCCCCTAGCGGTAAACGTAGGGAGGCTGCTCCAACTCCATACAAATTTGAGTTTACTTTGTGGCCGTAGCCATCACACAACGCAATTTTTTGTCCTCCCTATGCTGATCTATATCAGCTTCGCCCTAACGTGTAGGTGAGCTCACGGGGCTCAAATCGGGTGTGTTCCTAACACTGGCCCTAGCAAGAGCAGTGCTTCGCAGAATCTACCACCGGATCGGAAACGCGACCCACTGAGAAGATCCGGCGAGAAACTCAGTGGGCTGTGTCTATGAGTTAATTCGCTCGTCGAGCCCTTCGTCGCAAGCGACGAGTTCGACGAGGACGGTGACCGGGGCAATGCAAGATATTTGATAGATGCCTGAATCTCGCTTACGACATTTTCAAGATAAGCTTGCATATACTCGTATACAAGTTCCGAGCAACAACATTGAGACCGTCGGTCTACCGACTAATATGGGGAGTGCTCTGAGGAACATTTCGAGATGATACCGGCATCTCGTTTTTACCATCGCACCGCCCGCCACCGGAGTAGAGTTCATCCATACTACCTGGAGCCACTGCGGTCATCCACAGTGCGTTTCCAGAGATCTTTTTTGCCACGTACCATCCGGCTATTGAATGAGCTCCCCTCCTCGGTGTTTCCCGAGCGCTATGACATGTCCTTCTTCAAACGAGGCTTGTGGAGAGTATTAAGCGGTAGGCAGCGGCTTGGCTCTGCCCCTGGTATTGCTGAAGTCCATGGGCGACGGTAACCACTCACCATCAGGTGAGCCGAATGCTCGTCTGCCTACAAGGGCAAAAAAAAAAAAATATCACCCGCTCGGTGGAAGATCTTCTCTTTGTAATGTACCTACAACTTTTACGAGATCGGAAAATTAAAAACATGCACTAAGCACACTGGTGTTTTGTGGTTGGTCGGGAATCTCGTCTACGTCGCAGTTTCAGTCAAATAACGAATGATTCAGGACGATCTGAAGCTATTTGCAAATAGCTTATCCAAAATATTGTCTTTTCAGTATGTAATCGAAATTCGACTTTAATTGCTGATGCTTTAAGGTCCAAATTTACTGTACTGTAATTAGATGTTCTCTTTTGTTTTGTATCTGTTACGATGCAAATTTAAAATACAAAATTCAAAGATGTAAAAATACTGCACTAAAAAAAATAAAAACACTAAAGTTCATCAATACCTGTTAACGAAACAAATAATACGGAAATCAGTTGTGAAGCAGAACAAAAATGGCACTTCCTCGTTTTGGCTGATTATTAATAAAAATCGCATCCACGACAGGTGTTCCTGAAGGAAGTGAAAGAACGCGAAAAGCTTCAGCAGTGGAAGAAACAAAATTTAGATCCTAGAAACGCAAGCAGGTATTTATTAATTTAATTTTACTATAATTAATAACACAATGGAAAATGAAGTCTCAGGCATTGTCTACATGAAACCCTACCTATTTGCTGGTAGCCTAAGGGGCTAATCTAGCTACGCTCGGACGGCTAGCTGAGCAGCGTACTGGCTCAATTTGACTTAACTAAAGTAAACTTAAAGTAAAACTTAAAGTAACTAACTTGTGAGTCCCCACGGATACGTACTGTTAAGGAGTAGATCCAGGAACTATTTTATAAAAGAAATAGTTTTTTCCTCATACCTATGCTGATAGCCTTGAGAGGCTGTTTCAGCTTCTAGACGTGTAGGTGAGCTCTTGAGGGTCCTAAAAGCACCGTCGCGGTCGAAAAAGGGTTTTCGTGTCACGCCGCCTTGTCGAAGTAGCGTTCTGACGCTTCTTTAAGATACTAAGTTGGCTAAGATTGTTCGTTTGTGTGTGCGCAGAACGCCGTCCGCGTCCCGCGAGCCGACGTACCGCCTGCGCTACTCGTCGCCGGTGGGCGCGTCCCCATCCCGCAGCCTCGACCACCCGCGCGCGCTCGACGAGCCCTCGCACGCCGGCCACTCGCACGCCAGCCACTCGCACATCCCCAGCTACAACGGTCAGCGCCTCGACATTGTACCGCCCCCAACCCCCCCCACTGTGCGTTGACACTAAACCTACCGACTGTTTGACAGTTCGTGGACACGTTTGCCGCGCTACGTCAAGTTGACACGTAATTTAAAAAAAGATGTGTCGTGTTGTGGGACACCCGATCGGAACGAAGTTTCTTATTATAAAAATATTAATTTTAAGTTCTATTCGAGTTATAAAGAAAGTAATTATTCGGGTATACATTTTTTATTATGATTTTTTATTGATAAAAATAAATAAAAACTACCTTGCAAAGTTATCAACTTTATTTTATTCACAATGATTTAAAAAAAATATATAATAAAAAAATATGTTATTTTTTGTACGTTATTATAAGTTAAGTCGTACACTGTGTGCATTACTAGTAAAAATCTTATGTTACGGACATTTTTCCCCGGTTAGGGTGGGTACCCCTCCGCATCGTCTCTTAAGGAACTTCGTTCCAAAAAAAAATCGATTTTATTATTCAATACAGATTTTTTTAAATAGAGAAAAAGTAATTAGTAGTTAAAACTGAAGATAATAATACAGACACATTCAAAGAATTGTCTTGTAGTTTGTTAATGATTATCTATTAATAAATAGTAAATTTTACAAATGTATGAAAACTGTCAATTTTACTTGTAGGTTTAGTGTCAACAAAATGTTGTGAATACACTAATCATATACAATGATTTTTATCTACAAAGTTGGACCACAAGTCTATATTAGGTTTGTAGTCGACTTTTTTAAACACAGTACAGTCAGTGTCTCAAGTTATTACCCTTTTTTTCTAAATTGTTGTCAATCTTAGATTAGTGATAGAACATTTCCCTATCACGTAAAATTGAACACGGATAAAAATTATTGTATTCATCGATAAAAATGATGAACGTATTTACCAATACAAAGTTAATACACGTTTTTGTGACTAATACTTTTCGGTCGATTGCGTTATTTGAAATGGGTTATTTATATGGGCTCTTTAAGATGAAATATGCGATAAGACCTTTAGAAAAAAAAAACTTGCGTAATAAGGTTACGCCAATCGATTTAAAAAAAAAAAGTACTATTTACTAATTTTTCACTACCGTCAAGTTGTACTAAAGAGTCACACCGATTACCTTTAAAAAAAAAACAGAATGAAAACCTCTCTCATATACAAAAGGATACGTGTAATATAGTATTGGAAGTGAACTAAATGAGCATGAGCTTCGTCCCACTGCGGGCCGAGCGAACGCGAACCTTTGATGTTAGTGAGCGCATTTACGTTGTAGATGTCTATGGGCTCTGGTAACCACTTAACATCAGGTGGGCTGTGAGCTCGTCCACCCATACAAGCAATAAAAAAAAAATCGATCGTGAACTTTAAAAAACTCGCACTGAGCACACTGAAGTACTAACGTTTGGCCCGCTAGCGATATATCTCTACATGACCCGGAAAAAGCTTGTTATGTTTTTAAATCTTATTATTTAAAAAAAGCATTGTAATATAAATTATATCCAATACTGTTTACATGTATTCTATCATGTAATTATTGTACTATAAGCTAATAACATTATTAATTTGCACAACCTTACCCTGTGGTCACTCCCATTCTACAACGTCGGGTACATATAAAAATACAAACCAAATTATAAATAAAAATATAATTAAATATTCAATGTACCCTTCGTCTAATTCGCTTCATCGAATCGTCTGGTATGACATTAAAATAACTATTTTAGAAAACATATTGGAGTGATTTGACCGCCATATTGTCTGAACTTTGCAAATACATTGCCAATATAATACTATTAGAGTTTATTCATTATTTAACTTTAATTATGTTTTAAATATCTAATGTTTGTCAATCTGTATGCATTCTTTGTCAATATTGTTGTGTTCTAAAACTCCAATGTGCTAATAATAAAGAGACAGAGCTTAGATCGTTTTATGTAATAATAAAGTAATAATTAAGTTTCATTGCAGTATTTATACAATCGTATAACGCAAATAAGGGTGAGTTCAACTCTAATTAAATAGATATTATTAATTAATTTCATCGGCTTTGATTTTTCAATACTCAAAATCATCTACGCTTTGTCTTTCATTACATTTTCCAATTGAATAAAAAAAAAAAAAAAAACGTGATCCAACGCAATCGTTATAAATATATTGAAACCTGACATATAAAGTATGCTATTTTTTGAAGTGAAACTGCTTTAGGCGCATGAGGGTAAAATTTTTACAGATGTAACGTCACGCAGGTATGCAACGGAAGTGTCGAAAAATTTTAATACAGCGCCATCTATGAGACTTTTTAATACTAACGTGCGTATGAAACCTCTTGTAGTGAATTTCAATTTAGGATTAGACGTGACGTTAAAATATCGATTCACAGAAGGCGCTACCCTCATACTATAAAATATGATTTACAATTATTTACTAATGACAAAATTTTACATACTAATATACTTAGACATTTAGGATAATTGTATTTTAATTTTTGAAGGTTTCACTTCTAACACGTGTGAATTGCAGACATGTTTCTTTTTTTTTCTTAATATAATTATAGCGTTTGCGTTAACGTTATTCAAAGTTAAGTTAAGCTCGTACGATGAAAAGCTGTTATGACGTCGCGCGCGTTTCCATTCGACTACTCGAGGTGAGAAGCTTCAGGAATTGGCTTTTACATTGATGTAGTTACGCTAAATTCAATGCTGTCATTGGAATTTAAAAACAACAAAAAAAATTGTCGTGTTTTTCTTTTACAATGGAATTTGGAACTTACTACATTGATGTTAAGATATATTTTGCAATAGTTAAAAATATTTCGAAATTTTGAATTTTGTTTCCAACAAATGTACTTTTTAGAATATTGTTTGCTTCTACAACGGTACTCTCAAAGTAGAATACAATTTAAATTTCTAGTCAACACATTGCTAAAATGACAGCATTCCCAATTTTTATTATCGGCTTTACGATTTATATTCCAGAGCTTTTTATCAGTGTGATGTCTTAGATGTTTTGTCTATTGTCTTCACAATGCTTATACATACGTATTTTTACACGAATGTAGTATTATTATAACGTCTTATTTTTTATATATTTTTTTTCGGATCTGGTCACACTGAATTTTTAACCGATGTTGTCAGCAGAAATGGTTTTTAATTACTTTATTTTAAAAATAATTTTGTTGAGATGTTTATATTCGGGCTTAGTACGTCCCGCTGAATTGAGACCTTACCGAAGTAGTATCAACAAATTGCGATAGGTACCGCGTGCGGGTCAATAAATATTGCCAACAATTACGTATCGTGGCCGGATCAAATTGCTTATTTAATATTAATAATTACATTTAATATTACAACAATAAAAAAAATGCATGTGCTTCGCATAAAATTAATAATACTAATATGTTTTTTTTCATACACATATATTATGTATAATGCATGGAATATTTTATAGGAACAATAGCTTAATCAATATTTATGAAGCGCTTTTCGTTTAAATTCTATTAACTATTTTAATTATTTTATTTATATGGTATATGGTACGACAATACATTATTTGCTGCCGTTGTTGAAATGATACAGTCATCAAATTTTGATTACGGGTAATTGTTAAATATATAGTGACAAGTCTTTCGATGTAAACTTTAAATAAAATTAGTAAAACGGAAAATTAATATAAACTGTAGTAAAGTTTAATGACTGATTCAAAAGTATAGTTATAATTGTTACGGGTTCATTCAAGTTTATACGCCAATGTGTCGAATAATAATCTAGACTGTCTTTTGTTTGGTTTTAGTTCACTATTTTCTGTTATGATAAGCCGTAGTACGTGCTGTTACAAAACAAAACGAATATAAGCACATGATGGCTTCACTTTTCACGCATTTTATATGCTGATCGGACAATACTTATCGAACCTTTAGAATTGAAGTGGCCTAACTAAAGAAATTAAGAAAATGAATTTTATACTTTGAACGACTGTTTTTTTTAATGATTGACGGATTGCTTGTGGCCTGGACGTCTTTCCAGTTTCAGCAGGATAGGTGGGCGAGCAAAGGCTCAGCCAGGATAAACATGTACCTATTGTATAAGTTTATAAAATTGATTTTTTCTAATTAAAAATTAAATTTAAATTTTTGTCTAGAAAAGGATAAAGTACGCTTTCCGTTTCTATTAAATCAGGCGCATAACTTAAAACTTCAAGTTTTGCGCTTTAAGACTTCAAGTATTAAAACTGAAAATTTTAAATTAAAAAAAATTTTTTTGGCGTTTACAAAAAAAAAAAACATGAATTTTGGATTAAGCCACTTCGAATCTAAAAATGTTTTATAAAAAAACAAATACATTAGTTTCGGACACGCATACAAATCAATTGGCCGTATAACACTCGATCGATCCGTACAAAGCGATCGCACAAGCGTGTTCGTCAGTAGTTGTTCCAATACGTGTTAGTGTATGTGCGGTGTGAATGTGTGTAGTAATGCACGCGGCTCCGCGGCCCGGCTACGGGCTCCGGTCGAGCACGCTGCCGGCCGGCGTCGGGCGACACTGCAACGTACGTGCCGAGGTAACCGGGCGCACACGTGGCGAGCCGTCCCCCCGTCACAACGGTCGGGTAGTTCGAAATTTAATTTAAGCTGATGACGTCATCGAGTGCCTGGGAAACGGTTCGTTCACGTGTAACGCTCTGGATTAGTTTTATTATGAGCTAAGTAACATAAGTGGTTGATCGATTTTGAGCTTTAGTCTACACGCAATAAGGTAAGTCGATTAGTGCGTAAGGTCGTAGAGTGGGGAGTGACTCGGGTTAGGTCGTGGGACGAAGGCGTCGTTGGTACAAAGTGCAGTGTTACAGTTGTTTCGTCACTGAGAAGCGCACCCCGACCCGGGTACGGTCTCGCCGCGCGCTCGCACACTTTCTCGTCCAGTACTGCCGTAAGTATAGCTCTCGACCGTTATCCGTTTAAGGTATCTACCTATCTACCGTCAATAAATGTGGTAGTGATTGAAACCGGGCGACACCTAAATGCAATGGGTTGGGGGGGGGGGGTTAGGTAGCTTGTTAAATATGGATGTCGTAGTTCTATTCTCATATATTCTATTCTCATACATTCTATTCTCATATTGTGGTCCTGCACCCATAAATCGAGAACGTATTTGGCTTGGAGCTGCTTTTAAAACCCTGGTTATTACCATTATCGACCCACAGACGTCCACTGCTGGATATAGGTCTTCCCCCAACCTCGCTAAACTGGTCTATCTTGCGTTGCCCCCAACCGGTGGGTTCCCGCGCCCTTAAACAAGTCGTCGGTCACACAAAAATATTATGAAAAAATCAAGTCAAATTTAATAAAATAATATTGGTAAATTGATGCAATACTATTTAATCAAAGTATAAAAGGTATGAAGTATAAATATTGGACATTCGTTTGGCAGGACCGTTCGAGCTGTTACGTTGACTATACAGGGTGTATAAAAACGTTTCCCGAAAACCCAATATTTATTTAAAAATATGAAAATATTTTTAATAGTATGATCTAACCTGGGCCCGCAACGAATTACAAATTGAATTCTGGGGTCAATGAACGCGGTGTTGAATAAACTGCATTAATGAGAATTTTTTGGGTTGTGAATTTTGTTGTCATTATCTACATACTGCCTTCGACTGTGTTTCATTGAATGCACATATATTGTTGTCTACTTAGATTAAGGTAGTGTATTTGTTTTCCGGACCCTAAAAAGATTACCTTACTATATATACAGGGTGTTACCCAACGGTATTTTGTAAGTAATAGTGAAAATATTGAGAGGTCGACCGAAGAAGACATGGATGGAGTGTGTGAATGACGATATGAGAGAGAGAGGAGTGAGTGTTGAGATGACGGCTGATAGAAGAGAATGGAAGAGAAAAATTAGCTGTGCCGACCCCACCTAGTGGGATAAGGTGGAGAAAAAGAAGAAGAAGTGAAAATATTGGCAATTCGTTTAATTCTTATTTTCGAACAAAGCAGTAGTTAAATAAATCGTTTTAAAATACCAAATATTAAGTATTTGTGATAGGCAGTCATTGTATTAATGTAATTACAGGGTGACTTCACATTTAGCGGCATGGGAGATAAAACTCATAGCACCGACTTCAGCAGCGGCAAATCAGATAGTATGTACCTCCTTTTTATATTATTTTGGGACAAGAACTATAAAAATGTAGGTACACACAATAAAGTTAGCGTATTTATATGTATAGGTTTTAACTGACATATTAGGATTTTATGCTATATTTTTTTATTTGGATGGTTGGTGTGTTTGGCGTTTACATCAAAAAAAATTCTAACTATCTTCTTACATTCTTTTGTATAGCATAAATTCAAAGTACATATTTTATATATTGTATCGTTATTTCGGGTTTGCTGGAAAAAAAACAATCTCTGAGCTTAGGTCGGCTTTTCGCACATATGTTTTCTGTGTAATAATTTTTAATGTATTTCGATTTTTTAACTGAGTACAAAAAAATTAAATAAAAATTACGTAATCGAAATATATATCCTATTTCCACTTCTTACTGCGATACACGTTGAATGACCAATGTTGCCAATTGTAACATTTATATTAAATTACATCAAAGAATAATGATTCTTATTAGCACGTATTCTATTAAGATTTGGGTTGTTTTTTGCGCGCAGTGCGGACGGATCTGTGCAGTAAGTAGTATCGCCTCGCTTGCCGGAGAGAGACAAACGTACGCATAAAGCTTAAGCGAGAAAGAGACAAACAACATTTTTTTGTTATCACTTTGGAATCCCGCCTTCCGCAATGCGCTTATTCATAGTATTTATTATATGTACCAATAGTTTTCATTAATAGAATTTTTACGTGAATAATCATAAATTGACTTTACTTTTCATCATGTCTTTATGGACTCTCTTTCATATAGCAAACAAACATTACGGTGTGATTTTGATTGTAAATTTTATTCCGAATCCGAGGATCACGATAACAGTATATAATATTCATACTTCATTTTAAAAATGTCATATTAATAAACAAAAAAAGAATGCACTAAAAATAATCTGAATTTGCTGTAGTTGAAGCAATTAAATTAAAGTTAACATTTTGTTAACAATGTCACAAAATTATTATAATTTTCATATACATGTATGATATGGACTCTGTTAGTTAGAAATTTTATAATAAGACTAGCTGACCCGGCAGACTTCGTAGTGCCTCAATCGATAAATAAAAGGTCTAAACTTTTGTATAAAATTAACTTAAAACAAACAAAAAGAATCCGACCGACGGGGGGGGGGGGGGACATCAAAGGAAAAATAAAATTGTTATTTTTATTTAATTATGAGCATTTTCATATTTATCTACCTTTTAAACCTTCTCTGGACTTCCACAAATCATTCAAAACCAAAATTAGCCAAATCGGTCCAGCTGTTTTCGAGTTTTAGCGAGACTAACGAACAGTAATTCATTTTTATATAAATACATATATAGATGAAATATGGACAGTTAATTTCAACTGATTGCGAACGGAAAATTCATTTTATGACAGTTTTAATAAAAGTTGAACCAACATCATTGAGGTGGAAAGCAATATAAGATTTAGCTGCAGACTTCAAATCTAGACTGTTAATTATTTTCATCCGAATCAAAATTCAAAATGCAATTTTAATATATTTGTAGACACCATATTATTATGTTTCATTTGTGTTATTAATCATGCAATAAACAAATCGCAACACATCCCAGCTTTAAAACATTCTCGTAAAATATAACTAACACGAATAAGCACTTTATACACTAATTAAAATTTTATTAGTATCAAGATGTAAGATTTTTTTTTTTAAAGTAGATGCTGTAAAGATGTGTAAAAATGTATTCTTACAGTTTCTGCCGGCTCCATAACCGATGTGGATAGAAGTGCTGTGGTAAGTTCATTTAATCTATATACATTATTTTCTAATATAATACGAATTATTATATTAATTAATTAATTATTATAATAATATAAATTAATTAAATAAATAACTAAATGAAAATAAAAAAGACATTAATTATTCATATAAATGAATATACAAATTATTTATTTTAATACCTTAAAGATATGCTCACGATAATGATTATAAATATATTTCTTTGTGACTTGTAACAATCAAATTATATTATAAAACAAGAAAAGGACAAAAAAAAACAACAGACCACAAGAAAATTTATCGGTGGTAGAACAATTTGTAAACTCGCAAGGGATAAGATAACCATCCTGCATATTTCTGTCGCGAAGCAGTCATACGTGCTGATGTGAACACACTATAAGGGAGACTAAGACCTAGTGTCTCAAGATGGATGGACTGCATTCGCATTCTGATGATCATGAGCTCCAATAAACTTAGCAGTTAGTCCGGGTGGGCCATTAGCTCTGTGATCCAGAAATGAATCGAGAATCTCTTCTAGATCACATTTGAATCCGTATAAAAGTAATTAGAATTAAAATGAAGATGCGCTTTTCTGTCGGAACATATAACACATTAAAAAAAATGCTCAGTCAAATATATAAATTTACGGCATCCGCGTTCTGATGTTTATCAGCTCTGCTTACTGTTTGAACTCTGACAAGAATTGTTTTTTTTTTATTGCTGAGATGGGTGGATGAGCTCACAGCCCACCTGGTGTTAAGCGGTTACCGGAGCCCATAGACATTCACAACGTAAACGCCGCTACCTAGCTTGAGTAAGTTCTAAGGTCTCAGTAGAGTTACAACGGCAGCGCCACCCTTCAAACCGAAACGCATTACTGCAGAAATAAGCGGGGGACGGTGGTACCTACCAGCGCGGACTCACAAGACGTCCTACCACCAGTAAATGTTTATTGTTAGTAAAAATAACGGAAAGCTCATTATGCATCGTATTTGATTGCGCAGACAACCGAAGCGGGTATAGTGGTCCGCGGGGTGAGCACGCTGGGGTCGGGGGTGGGGGTGCGCGGCGGGGTGGGGGGCGTGCGCCGCTCTCTCCCCAACATGGCCACCTCGCATCTCCTGCACGAGCCGGCCAAGCTCTACCCCTACCACTTGCTGCTCATCACCAACTACAGGCTGCCGCCCGACGTCGACAGGCTTAACTTAGAGGTAGGTAGACGGTAGGCAGCGGCTTGAGTCTGCCCCTGGCATTGCTGAAGTCCATGGGCGACGGTTAACACTCACCATCGGGTGGGCTGTAAGCTCGCCTACAAGGGCAATAAAATAAAATAAAAGTTATCATTTTTTATTGCTTAGATGTGTGGACGAGCTCACAGCCCACCTGATGTTAAGTGGTTACCGGAACCCATAGATATCTACAATGTAAATACCGCCACCAACCTTGAGATATGTATTCTAGGGTCTCAGTATAGTTACAACGGCTGCCCTTCAAACCGAGAAATACGCGTGGTGGTGGTACCTATCCTATTACTGTTAATTGTAGAACCCCATTTAACTAAAAAACACTATGCGTTGTTGCTTACTGGAAGTGGACAAATACTGGTTCTAGAGACGTTCATGGATCAATTTAAAACAGATTTCAGATTAGAAATGTCAATTTCATAATTAGGCATTCTAATATTATTATTTTTTTTTTTTTATGTGCCTATCTGCGATCAGTCCTGGACTATGAGCAGATGCGTTGTGTGTGCCATCGCGTCGAAGAAGCTCCTCACCAGGAGATTCCTCATTGATCACCATCTGTCACCAACTCCCTGTATATCATGACGTTTCAGTCATTTGATGTAACTTACTTTTGTGAACGCATTAGCTAGGGTATTGGGGTGGTTTTCCAGCCGAGTTCTGTACTTAGTACCTGTCAACCTTATCTCTTCCTTAACAGTTCTCATATTCATGGCTTCATGGATCTCAGTGTTTGTCACAAACGCATTCTAATATAAAAAAATATATTAACAGCGACATCTCTCGGACGCCGAATTCGAAGCCATTCTCCAGATCAACCGGCAAGACTTCTACCGCTTGCCGCAGTGGCGCCGAAACGAACTCAAACGACGGGCTCGCCTCTTCTAGAACATTCGTCTGCTCGAACGAGCGGTTCACTCGCGACAGCGCCATCTAGGAACTGAAGTTGGTACTTTGTACACTTTTCATTTGTCGATATTATTGACACAAGAAAGAAAATGATAAAAAAAAACGATAGTTTTAGAATATAGATAGTTCTTTGAAACGTACAAGATCATTTCAATTATCAGACTGAATTAAAGGCTATCCCCAAAAATGTTTATATTGAAGGAAGAAACTATCGTTTTAAAAAATGAATAAGGATGTACAAAGTATCGTCTTCACAATTGGTTTTAAAATATCAAGATTATTTATTTGTAGTCATTCATTCGATTGGAAAGAATGCGTGCCTATGTTATTTTATAAAGCTAAGATTTAATTTTAGACGAGCCGTTGCGTGCACGGCGTGCGCTTTAGTTTTGCATAATTTTTATATTTAACAAGACGAATTGAGTTGTTCTTGTTTTTAACGTTTTTTTTTAATTTCCATTTTATTTATTTCGATGTAACCTATATTTTTCGTGTACCCGAGCAAAAGTATAGAGAAGTTGTTATTTTCACTTTTTACGTTTATTCGTAAATATCAAGCAAAGGGATACAAAGTTACAAGTCCACAAAACATTTCTCTGTCGAAAATTTTAATTGACCCATAACATGTAAATTGCACGTGTTGTTTTTATGTAGTGTGCAATGAGAATAAAACGAATTAGACATTTACTGGTTTTGATATTATAAACAAACGACCTACGACCGTATTTTGAGAGATAAATATATTATCACGATACTTACGAATCTGAGATTTCAAAGTAATGTGTGGACTTCACTTTGTTTGAATTAAGAACTTCACGTCTTTGGCTAGTGATGCACAGTGAACGATCTTCATTGGAAACTCCATTCAAATCGATCGTGAATTATGTGAAAATACGAATCCTATTTCATAACGACGATATTATAATAACTTCAGATACATAATAATATTAATATATTCGTTTAATTTAAAAATAAAAAAATTATACATTAATTCGGTGTGAATGTGTGACGAGAGTTCAAAGAATAATCATAATATTTGAATGCTGTTTTCTAAAGTATATAATATTATTTATAAATTGGATATAGAGATATTGACAAAAATGCAACACTAAAAAATATCATAGGGCAGAAAAAAACTTAGCTAAAGCACCGGACGTGACTTTAAAGAATAGGAACATATAGTTAGGATAAATATTTATTTATCATTAAACAGTATGTTCGTAAAAAATATATATATTTATATATGTACGAATATTTTGAAATTGGCGTTCAATTAGTTAGATGTGTGCGTGCCTACAAAGATTCATTGGACGTAATTTTAATTTATCAAATGTCTAAGTGCCGTATGGCATATACATATATATATATATATGTATTGTGTGTGTGTAATTGAGCTGAATTTTGTATGTCTTTAAACAATAGAAAGATATGAATGTATCGGTTGCAACATAAATATGTACTAGAATTATATAATATATAGCCTAAGGTTTTTTTGTTTGTCTAGTCTGAAACATTTAGAATGGCTAATTAAAAAAGAAGAAAAAAACTATTGAACTGATCGTAAATTTGATTTATTTATTTTTGTTTATATCTTTTTACTCTGAGTTTAAGCTTAGAGAAATGAATTTTTAAAATATTTTCTATTTGTAACTATATTTATGTTGCGACTGCTAATCAATAAATAAGCGACAGAAAATGTTACTAAGTAACTCTGTGGATTGGTGTCAATTAATTTTGCTCTCATAAAGTTGGCTGCTATTCTAATTTTGACCTTTTCCAAAGTTCATAAAATTATATTTAATTAAAGACCTCTGTCAAATTGCTTTGTAACATATGTATTTAATCGAGATGGCTTCTGTTGACGAAGCAAGCTCTGGGACCGATGACATTCTGGTGCACAATGAGGTATAAAATATATATTTTTGGCCGTGATTCATAAACATATACATACATTATCAATGGTATTGTGAAATAAATGTATCAATTTGGAATACAAGTAACAGTACCTCATCATGTGACTAAATTAAAATATCACTGTGTGACGTCATCATATCTCCATATCACAAATATTGTATCCATCAAGCGGCAGTCTGTAGCTTTCTTACGAGAGTGACCAATATTTAATTAAGAAATATTTTGCTTTCACGAGTGTTGCCAAGTTTATGAGAGAAAAATGAATTACCGAGCTCATGTCTGATTATATCGATGCCTTTGTATAATAATATTATTATAGTAAAGAATGATATATATATATATATATTTCATTGTGATGCGTGCTAAAGCGTGTAATGATTAATTTAGTGAGAACCAAATATAATACATATATGTAAGATATATATATTTTTCTTTAGTTTTTAATTCGGGGCTTAGTTGTACGTATTTAGATATAAGAATAGCTTCTTCGTGCGTTCGTATTAGGAACAAACTGAACGGTATAATGATGCTAAATAAAAGTAATAGTCTCGCAATATCCACATGCTCACGGTGCTAGATACAAAACAATTAGTCGAATTATATAGATTCCCTATCGAATGACACGGTTCTTAGTCGATAATTCAAATTATGAATAGTAGTATAACTTCATTGTTTCAATAGATAATAGTAATGTTCCTAAAAGTGACTGGTTAAGGGTGTGCGAGGTTGTGTGTGTGTGTTTGTGTTACTGAAAAAATGCTGCTTTCGAATAAAAAATATAATTCCGACAGTTTATATTAAAAGTTATATAAATCGATATAACTGAAATAGGATGTTGAAAGCAGTGTTTTATAAGTAATGCAGAATTTTACTAAATTGTTTTTAATTTTATTCTAAATTTATTCTACACAGATATTATGCTTAGTTGCAATATTACTGAAGAAATTTTAATTTTATTCCCTTTAAAATGAAAGTAAGGTTTTACTTTTTATTAGTGTTTAATTATTAACGCATAAGTTTTAGGTAGCTTACGATTTGAACGATCTTTTGTTACCGTCTTAGATATTTTAAAGATGTCACTATTGAGCCATTATTATAATAGTAATATGCAACTGATTCACCGCTAAATAAATCTTATGAAAATATAAAGTACTAGCTTCGCTATGGCATTTTCTGATATCAATAATACTTCCATATTTGAATCGGATTTTGTTTATGATTTTATTGTTTTGATTTGTTTTTCCCAGATCCATTACAAAAACAATTATATTATTATAATAAGAGTAGCGTACATACTTCTTCAAACATTAATTATCTGCGAGTAAAAGTATCATGACATTTGGTGCAGATTTGCCCAAAGAAACAAACACAATAAGGTACACTAAATTATTATTATTTTTCACTTTTTTTATAAAGTGTATACTTTATGAAAGTGCATATAGTTAATTCAGCGCATATTTAGTGCATATTATTCATCTAGTAATACGATACGTATATGGCTATGACGATTATCTAGACACATTTCACAGATACAGCCAGTATATTAAATGGCTTTTAACAACATTATAATTGTTGAAATTTTATTTTACTAGTAATCCGATTATAAAATAATGCTTGAAGCAGTGTTGTAAGCGCGGGTTGCTGGAACTATTGGAATTAGTAACAAGTCAAAATATTTCTGTGTAATTTCTTAATATTCTACTTTAGAATCTAAACTGTAATTTTTATGATCAGGTCTTTATAAATATCTCATCCTATAGATAGTTGCATTAGAGCCCGCTATTAATTGAAAAGGCTTTAAACATTTATATCCGACCTTGTGCCTCTTAACGTAATTCAAAATTGAATTTTTATATCTTTTATAGTCTCAAATCGTATCGTAAAAGGCGCATCAAATGAAGGAAGCTATTTCGTTCGTATACAGACAAACATTGCCTAGTTTGTTTTGTAAATCTTATGGCTCGTATATTGAAAGTTGTATCGTAATAATAATTAAAGTTGACATGTATATTTACAACGTACGTAATAAGGAACCGGGCAGCTGCTATTGTATAAAACTGTCGCAGCCACAAAACTGTTGAAAGCATCTTCCCCACGTATGACGTCATGTGAGCTCGGGATAAGAGACAAGCTAACCGTATACAATATAGGATCGGTTTTACCTACTAATTTAAATACAATCATTAATGGTTAACAAATTTAGTGATCTATTGGTCGTTTGAATTAGTTTAATTTTTAACTAATTTTTAGATTGTTTGTATTGGTGCCCGTTTGCATATTACGTATCTATGCGATAGCGACTTTATATGTAAATTGTTGACTGTCAAATCTGTTTTTACCTCAATTTCATTAAAAACTAGTTCATGCTGGTACATGCGAATCGATTATTGTAATATAATATGCGGTGTTTTTGAAATGAGTAATAGTGCTTTGGAAGTAATAAACTTGCATTTCAAAATTGTGTATTTATTTTTTGTTCGATTTTCGAATGAAATGGAATTTCGTAATAAATAAAAGCGTATTTTTTTGTTTAATATAATTTTATTTGAACGGTATGGGATCGTGTTTTTTATAAGATCGATAGATGAAGAGTAACTAGTTAAGTAGAGTACGAGGCACTATCGATGACGTTCACGTATAGTGTTCATGCCACGTAGACTGACAGACGGATTCAAATAAAGAGAATCGAAACCATAACAGGTAACCTGAAAGATTAAATTTAACTTATCACTTTAAAATAGTTTTGAAGCGAACTGAATGTTAGCTAAAATAGAGTACTAAAAACAATTGCTATGCAAATATAAGGTTGGGGAAAAAATCTTTTCGCATTATAGTATGTGTGAACTTGTAATAAAATCTCTTTGGCTATACTATTTGTATCTGGCTGGTTTTGGTATCATTAAAAGCTTAAATTTTAAAGGAGATAACTTCAAATTTAAATTAGGAAAATGTGTGATTTATTATTTATTTTTCGTACTGTCAAGATGAGTGAATCCAATGTAGAAATCCGATGCCTACATTTTAAATTTTACTACAATATTTTTACGGCGTAGCTAAAAAACTGGGAATTGACCACAAAACAGTTTTGGCGCATTTGAAAAAAACTGGGTACACAAAAAAGCTCGATGTTTGGGTACCTCACGAGCTCACTGAAAGAAACCTAATGAACCGTGTACTCATTTGTGATTCTTTATTACGACTTAATGAAACCGAACCATTTTTGAAGAAGCTGATAACTGGTGATGAAAAGTGTATCACGTACGACAAGAACGTGCAAAAAATGTCGTGGTCAAAGGCCTAACAACTGATGAGATTAAAGCAAGAAGTTGAGAGAAAGCGGCCGAAATTAATCGACAGAAGGGGTGTGGTTTTTCATCATTCGCTAGATCTCACACATCGCTTGGCTGGGAGGTGTTAATGCATCCGCCATATAGTCCTGACCTTCAGATTTCCACCTGTTTCGGTCTCTCCAGAATTCTTTAGGCAGTGTCAGGTTAACATCACGAGAGGACTGCCAAAACCAATTGTCGCGGTATTTTGATCAAAAGTCCCAAAATTCCTATAGCAATGGGATCATGTCCCTACCTACAAGATGGCAAAAAAACCGAACAAAATTGTATCAACATACTTTAGTTAAATGTAAATAAACTATATTAAAAAATGTTTTGAATTTTCTTAAAAAATGCGAAGAAACTTTTTCTCCCAACCTATTTCTATATTATACACAATTTATAAAATAGATAAAAAGAAAATCCAATAAACTAAAGCTTGTACAGTGAGCGATGTTTATCGCCCAAACCATTTCTACTAAACGACTGGCTTTGGAAAACACGAAGTAGGATACTATACATTTTGAGTAGACTAATTTTGATCAAATAATAAATTAGATGTGCTTATTTTTAAATATCGTAGTTAAAGGGAATAGCGAGCCATTTGCTTAGTAGCCACTTGCTTAGTAGATTACTTACTGGTAAGACAAACAGCTCTGCAATAAAATTAATTTGGCATCTCTTTTTATTTTTTAAAATATAATGATACTGTTTGTCAAATATTAAAGAATTGGAAACGCGTTAACTATTAGAAGCTGTGTGTTTAGTGCGAGTTTTTTAACTTCTCGATCGCGTAAAAGTTAACTCAATTTTATATGGAATTGAAACAGCGCCCCTACGTTTGCCGCTAGTTAGAGAAGATACGTTAAACTCGCACTAAGCACACTGAATCCAAGGCATACTCACTGTCATAATCTTGGAATACATCGTGACAATAATGTCTCATGAATCCGCAAACAGATTCGTAATATTTGTTATCGGAGCAGATCACATCAGCTCTGTCAACAAGACAATAAAATTACAATGAGACATGGAAATTACGGTAGTATAATATGCTCTCCGCCCGCAACTGCGAATGCAAGGACTACTATTTTTAGCCATGTTAGTGTACGAAAACAGTATTTTGTTATTTACTATGACTGGTGGTAGGCCGTCTTATGAATCCGCATATGTAGTTACAGCCTATTTCTGCCGTGAAGCAGCAATGCGTTTCGGTTTGAAGGACGGGGCAGCCGTTGTCGAGTGGGAGGGTGATGGGAGAGATGTGCTCCGCACTAAACGCTTCACTTTCCCCCCTTTGCCTTTTCATGAGTTCTGTCTCATGCGAGGTTTGGACGTTGGTTGTTGAGCGACAGGAGGTTTTAGTCAGTTCGACTCTGACATGTCCCGCCTTCCATCCCCAGGGGAGGGCGGAAGTCCAGCGATTTCTTCCTGAACAAAAAAAATCCTATGGGCTCCGGTCACGACTTAACGCCAGGTTGACCGCGAGTACGTCTACTGATACACGTAAGCAATAAAAAAATAATTAGAAATGACACCGTCATAGTTCACTGCGCGCTCTTACAAAATACCTTATTTCGATCTCCGCTGAATTGAATTATGTAATGTTGCGTAGTTAAAATAAAAAACAGATAAGTTACATTTATTGTGTATGTACCGACAGAAACATTTATGGACTTACTTAGCTTTCTATTTGAAGATTATTAAAAGTAGGGAGCTTACTTGGCTATTTCCCAACAGTTCATAAGCTCTTTCAAACATGGGGATATGTTGAAACTCCCTCGGTTGTACCAGTCCATGGTGAAGTTTTGAAAAGTTTTGACTGGATTATCAGAGCTCTGACATGTAGTGTACCACGCCACTGCAAGAGAGACATCTTTGAAGTTTTTTTTTTATTGCTTAAATGACTGGACGAGTTCACAGCCCACCTGGTGTTAAGTGGTTACTGGAGCCCATAGATATCTACAACATAAATGCGCCACCCAACTCGAGATATAAGTTCTAAGGTCTCAGTATATTTACAACGGCTACCCTACCCCTCGAACCGAAACGCATTACTGCTTCACGGCGGAAATAGGCGGGGTGGTGGTACCTACCAGAGCGGACTCCCAAGAGGTCCTACCACCGGTGATTACGCAAATTATAATTTTGTGGGTTTGATTTTTATTACACGATGTTATTCCTTCACCGTAGAAGTCAATCGTGAACATTTGTTGAGTACGTATTTCATTCGTTTTTTTTTATTTATTGCTTAGATGTTTGGACGAGCGCACAGCCCACCTGGTGTTAAGTGGTTACTGGAGCCCATAGACATCTACAACGTAAATGCGCCACACACCTTGAGATATAGTTCTGAGGTCTCAGCATAGTCACAACGGCTGCCCCACCCTTCAAACCGAAACGCATTACTGCTTCACGGCAGAAATAGGCGGGGCGATGGTACCTACCCGTGCGGACTCACAAGAGGTCGTACCACCAGTGGTACCCGCCTGCAGGATTCGAACACCGGTGCATCGCTACACACGAATGCACCGGACGTCTTATCCTTTAGGACACGAGTGATTCATCTCATTTAAATAACAATCTAGAATTCATAGTAGTTTGAGAGAAATCTAGACTAATGTACTTACAGTATGTTATGTAAATCGTGGTTATAAAAAATACTGTCAAAATCGGTTTCATTTTAAAAGACCGCGTAGTTGATGTGTACTAAACAGTAAGAAAGCAATGAATGAAAAATACCATAAAAAATACTTTAGTAATAATAAACACTCCGAAGAAAAGTGATTAAGTGGTCATGTTAATTTGCTTTCAGTCTCTTTCATTAATGAACGGATAAAAACGGCTAAGTTAATCAATTTGAAAAAATCAAAACTTCATTAAACATATTTTTAATTCAGTTCTCGTTTAAAGCGTTTAGTAAAAGTGGTTAGTTTTTCGCACTTTCGAATTACGATTACAATACCTACATAGATGCAGCTGATTTTCGATTCTGTTTGTTGGTCGATGAGTTGGGTGTTTTACGGCAGAGAGATGAAGTTTTAAGGTGGGTTATTTAGTCAGTATAACTCCGACATACCTACCTCACCTACCATATCCTACATGTAGACTAATAAGGTTTCTCCTAATACAAATATATAAATAATTAATTAGATTCTGTTTAATTAAGTAGACTCAAGGTTTACTTTGTATTAAGTGAATATATAAGTGCCCCCGATCACTCTCTTCAGCTAATCTGTACCCTGGGTCATGAAGGTGAGGAGGAAGGAATTATGTGGCATGTATACCGCCTGCACATAAAATCAGTTGGCGACCACGCCACGCTTATCCTCAGCAGACTTTACCAAATGATTTGTAGCGAAGTAAAATGCCTTTCGCAACAATGTGACACTTTGCATATGGACCTTAATGACATACGCGAGTGTGGTGTTCGCTCACGCGGACCGACACCCTTCAATCCCTCCAATCACGTTTTACAGGGCAACCGTCTGAGCATCATAGATCGTGAGGAACGTACACGGCGATCTAGGCCTAGAATCCATCAAGAAATAGCTAGTCAGCGTCGGAACAGTAATTCGATAAGGCCGTGCGTCATGATAATTGCTTCATCGTTGCCGCTGCTGACTACTCTCCGCCTCTGGCTCACACCGGAGCCCGTCACCGTAGTCACAAATTCTTATGGATCCATTCGATACACTAACTCTATTACTAGACGCCTGCAGCTCTAGCACTAGGACTTAGGGATCCTGGTAACCGTACTCTTCGAACTTGCCTAAGAGTTCTCGACATGCAACCCAACCCATACATCAGTCTGCTGAGTTTCCCGCTAGATCTTTTCAGCGGGTTGCGGTTGGCATCCGGCAGTAAATCCATTCGGGAAGCTACCCCTGATAGGTCTCCTTTGGAAGCGCTTCGGAAGCTCTTAGCCAGTCCCACCCCTCTTAGCTAAGCCCGTGCTGGCCCACGTGTCCTGAAACTGTAAATGCCTCCGGGCCAACATTAATACATAATTTAATCCAAAAGATAAAATTGTGTGATATAAATGATGCTTATTCCAGAACGCATTATTAGTCGCGATTGAAATAGGCAGAGTGATGGTACCTACCCGTCGGCGCTACAAAAAAGCCCT